GGGTTTGTGTTCGTGTTGGCTTTTAAGGGAAATTTGAAACTACAGACAGAGTGGAACGTAGCTAAACTTTTATATAATTGATGCTCTCTCCAATAGCCAGCGATTACTGTGCTATAAGTTTCTCATAAATCAAAGAAAAACTCAGGGATTTATTACAAACGATCCGAAAACTTTTTTTTTAGATATTTTATTTAAAAAGTGGAAAACTGTAAAAAGAGACAGAAATAAAGAGATATAGAAAAGTGAGAGTCGATCTTGTTGCACTAGACAAAAGTCTGTTTAGTTATAAATATATCGATTATGTTTTTAAAGGCCTCTTAAGAAAGATTACCATCAGTTTGTATTCCTTTATTGCTTTTTTTTGTTGGTAGGTAGGTCGAGTAGAGAGTATAAAAAAGAGAATTGTCCAGCCGTTTAGAAAGTCGAATAATAGATCTATTCTAGTTCTAGATGTTAATTTAAGAGAAAAAAACATTTTTTATTGCAGATTCCTTCTTAAATTTCTGCGGCTGGCAAATAAGAAGAAATTCTCTATTCGTTTTTTTATTATTTTATTCTCCTTTTATGTTTCAACACCCGTCGGTATTCATTATTTCGAAAGACATCCAGCTGATAGTTTTGTGCTACCCATAGTAAGACACATGCAATTAAAAGATATTCAATTACGTAACCTCTCCTTATAACAATACAAAGATGAAAGGGAAACGACATAGTTTTCTACTTATTAGAAGGATGAGAAAAGGAAAAAATAATAGATAATCCCCTAGACAGATAATTATGGTTAGTTAAATTTCTCAATCACTCTACCCTTGAATCCATAGTCTGATTGTTTAAAAAGAGAGAATTATATGAATAATTTCTCTATAAAATGCCATAAATTTTAAAAAGACAATTGAACAAACTGATCTATAGCACAATCAGTAAGTTAATCCCTATATTACTTCAGATCGAATTAAGTCTTTCATTGGTTTGAATTAAGGAGAAAATATATTGGTGTTGTCAAGCGATTATTAAAATAGAGCTAAAGTAATATTACTTCACTAATAAGGAATATATTGATTTTGTATATTTATTTAATAAAAGGGAGTTTACAAACCGATTCCATGAAACGTCGTTGATTAGGGAAATGATTTCTTTTACAAGTAATTAAAGAAATATGAAAAGTATAATAGACATTTCGGAAAATATTGTCTTTTTAGCAACCAGGGAAGTTTAATTAGTAAACTTTTCATAATAATATAAATAAGTATAAATATATTAATATCTATAAACGTAAGAATAAGTATGAAACTAAAATACCGTTTCTAGAGTTTCTTACTGGATTTTACAATAACATGACAAATTGCTTGTATAAAAATAGTTTAAAGAAAAACAATGCAGTTATCGATATACATGGAAACAAACACGTATTTTATTATAACACGAAGCGGTAGGAGACAGAGGTATCTTTTCTCTATTTATCTATTTCTTTTAGTCCATCTAAGTTTCTTTTCTCTCTCTCTCTCTCTCTCTTTCTTTTGTAAAGTTTCTGCTAACTTATAGGTCTACGACCTTTCACAATTGAGTGGAACAATAAACAAACAATTTTTAGACCATAAAAATATGTCAATGAATAATTATACAGTCTACGCTTTGCAACACAGTGATAAAAGCCTCTCACATTCCTCTTCCTTTCATTCTTAACACTCTTTTTTATATTATTCGTAAGGTGTAAAGTGACGTACTATTTAATAAACCGTATCCACTTCAAATTAGACAAATACCCGAAACAAAACAATATAAGCGAGATCCTAAATAATACATAAAGTTTCAACAGCTCCCCCTATTAAAATAATGAAAACTAAGAGATTAACTGCAAAATAGAAAAGAAATTTTAATACATTTATCAGCTACAGAGTATATTATTGTATTGAATACAATATAAATAATATTAAATTAAGGGATTATACGATATAGAAATCTTTAAGAAATAGATATAATATCTATAAAAATAGGATATATTTGTTTATATAATAACAGTATATATAGTCTATAATTATAAATATATTTATTACTCAATTATTCTTAATTATAATTAGAATATTACTATTTTTTATTAATAAATTCGTGAAAATATTAAAATATATAATGGCTAGAATAAAAAGATTATACTTATTTTATAAGATAAATCAATTAATTACTAAGATAACAAATTTTTTTGTCTTTCGTAACGTTTTTAATAACAAAAATGATTAGTTTCAGTCCATTAACCGAGTTTTATTCATTTTGAGTTATACTTATAAAAAATAGACTAAAAATATACTATTTTATAGCTTTTGTAATATTATTCTACAGACCATACATTAAACGATCAAAGACTAAAGTTTATTTGCTTTTATAATGTATCCACAACATGTTCATTAGGCCTCCTTTTTCTCTTTTCATAAAGAATACAATATAAAAGTTTTATTCTCTTAAAAGATTCTTATTTGCTAACTTCCGGTAGATGAAAATAAAAAAGAAATGGAATAAATCTTGTTCAACTTTACTATTGTTCTCTTTCATTCAAATATACTAGTTTTCTATATTTGTTCATCTAATGTGATGAAACTCGAATTAATTCCACTTCTGACGTTTCAGAATGATTGATAGACGATAAAGTTAACGATGAATGGGTAAAAATTACTTTTCCATCTTTAGTGGCTTAGTTAATTCTATTGGCATGCTGTTAATTCTAAAAATAAAAAGCTATTATAGAATGGTAAAAATCCAAAAGTTTTCCCAGTACTTTAGTTATAGAATAACAGTTGTTTGGCAGACTATAAAACAAAGAGAGATAGATAAATAGAGAGAGAGAGAGAAACCTCTCCGTTTTGATTAAAAACTAAATTGTAAAAGATAGTAGAAACACCTGTTAAAAAAAAGAGATATACAAGATAAAAGATGGAGAGAAATAAGGAGAAGACGATTAGTTATTATAACAATAGTAGGATCAGTTTATCCGCTGTTTTTTTTTATCTAATTTCTATTACATTTATCAAATTTAATGGGCAATAAACATTTGGTTTATATTAATTAGATAATTCTTTATATTGTCATTTAATTATAAAAGATGTCTAAATACGGATGAAATAGAAAATAAAGCAACATGAATTTTCTCCCAGATGCTACTTTAATTGTATTTTATATTTTCCTTCATTTTTATTGTTGCTATTTTTAGTTAATTTACTATAACGGGCGAAAGCTTAACGAGTATTGAACAAGATCGACAATTTAGATAGGATATACCATTTTGAAAGGGGAGTAGTTAACTACATTTTTGATAGAAGGCTATAATGGGTGATAGTTTATGAAAAAAAGTGGGGGTAGATTCCCCGAGGCAAAACTAGGGAAGAAAGGAGCCGCTCTTTAAGAAATTATTAAACTTGCCCAATAAATTCCCTTTTTAATAGAAGTATAAATTCGTTTCGTATATCAATAAGAACATAAATAAAACTACAAAAAAAAGAATTTATTTATAGTTAAGTTTTATAGCTATTAATCTTTTTATATAATAACTATTCACTGATTAACTCCTGTATCTAAACCCATGATAATAAGAAGCTTAGACTATTTATTCATTGGTATTTCACATTAGCAATTTTATCGTATTTCTATTACATCCTATCTCTTTTCAATTTGTGTATAATAATTAAAAGTATTATCTTTAACAGTTCATTAAGCTATAGACACAAATTATATAGGACATAGATATTTTTAATAATTAAACTGTTGTGTTTTCCTCTTCCTTCTATTATAATATTTATCTGTGAGTCTACTCTATCCTTCTCAATTTATTAATTCCATATTGGACCTTAATTAGAGATATAAGAGCCTTAGATTGATAACAAACTTGGAATAATTTTAATAAATTGATAAATGGCTGTTTCCCTTAGGTCTATAAATTTAATATATACAAATTTATTGATTTTATGTAAATGTAGAATAATAACCCAGAATATATATATATATATATATAAGTACACATATATCTTTATACAAATCAAAAACTATTAATTTCAATTATTTATCAGTTAATTTCAAACTGTATGAAACTTAAGGAGAGTATAGTTTAAAGTGGAAGCTTTTTGATTGTATACAGTAGTATAAAAATCAGGAACTATATTGTTCATTATCTTAGTGCAATTCATACAAGAATCACAACTACATGGAATTAACTTTCCTTTGTCATTTTCGATTGAATGTACAGTATTTCCGTTCAATTAAAGTTTTCATACAAATTTTATGAATATTTTAAAAGCAATAAGCATTTATCCTAAAACTAGAGGAACTATTTAAACATTAGGTTAAAAGAATTCATTTTTAATATCATCCTAATTGTTCCTACAAATAACATGTCGCTGTTTACTTGTGCTTAGTCGATTGTTTGTTATCCAAGGTCATTATGCTAGGGATATCTGATTACTATGCATTATAGGATACTACTAGCGTCCTTGTAACAAACACATAGTTTTCCATTTGCATAAGAAATAGGATAGCAATTAACAGATTATTCATTAATATCCTTTTAAAGAAGAGATATTTTAAAAAAAAAAGGTTAAAGTTGATTGTAAAGTTAAGATCTTTTAAGTAAAGAATCAATATTCTGACCTTTTAACAAAACTCCTTTTTCTTAATGATCTTAATGAAAAGTTTGTTTTTTATTTATATTTTCGGGAAAAGCTCTTATTCTGGTTAAAATTTGGTAGAGAAATTAAATAAATCATTGAGCACGAAAAATTGGCATTTAAAGTTGAAATAATAATGAAAAAAAACATTCTTTGAATATCTCTAAATGAATGAAATATCTCATAAATATTAATGAGTTGAACTAATTTAGTAAAATATTCTTTTAAAATCTAATTAGTTGATTAAATTTTTGTCCTTTTTAAGAATAAATTAATAATAAAAATCGCACAAAAAAAAGGGAAGAAGGATATATTGTCGCTAGATGGCATAACAAAATTAATGATAAATTTATCTTTCTATGTATTTTAACTAATGATTATTGGATTATTATTGGCAGATGAGAGTATTTTCTTTAGGCGTTAAAAAACAATTTTAATGTTCGTAGGCTGGTAGGAGAATAAGGCTTACTTTCTAGTCATAAAAGACTATATAAATAAAAAAGGAGTAAGAATGAATTTTATGCCTTTTTCCCTTCTTATTATTATTATTACAGAGGTTAACCTGTGAAACTTAGCAAGCAATATGAGAAAACATTTTTCTTAAGTATTATGAATAGTTGTTTATCTAAGGAAAGAAGAGATCTTTCAGTTTATTTTCTAATACTGTAAACCAGGAATGGAGTATATACTGTATGAACTTATATAAAATGTTTAAATTATGATAATAGTTAATAGCTAAATAGCAAAAATATACACTTAAAAAAAAGACAAAGCAAATTGAATTCTTTCTAAAGAATAGTGCAACCGCAACAATGCTGTTGTGGATAATCAGGGCAGTGAACTTCGCCTTGTGTTCCATAAACCCAGAATCTTTTACTCTCTCCTTTAAATCTATAATCAATCTCTGATACTGGCACTGCTTTGATTGTTTGTTTCTGTGAAATATAAAAGAAATATGTATTGAATCAATCAGTTGAAAGACAAGACGATAATAAATGAAAATGAGCTCTCTTTATCAATTAATTGAATAGTTGTATACATTTCTAGGATTTTTTTTAATTATCAATTATAGATTTGCAAAAATCTGGTTCAATGCTTTTAGCATTAATTGAACGAGTAAGATTCAACCTTGTAGCACTTATAAAAATTCTATATTAAATATTTGATTCTGATCAATTATGAGAGATGCCTTTTGCTTAAGTAAATTAGACTTTTACTAAATTTACTCTTTGATAATTAATCCTAGCCACCAATATATTTATTGTATGTGCAAATTAGTAACATATGAGAAAGGTGGGAAGGTTTTTTAATTAATCAATATGTTTACCTCGAATAATATTTTCTGACTTTTATAAGTTTGTCGATGTTTGTCGATTAATTGTGATGAAAGAACGTTAATTTCTTTTATGGTTGAATGACTTATAGGCCATGCCATATTGGAAGAGTACTTGAAAATCTCTTTTCCATTGGCTCCTTTAACCAACTCAATCGGAATACTGTTGATTCTATGAACGTAGTCTGATGCATTGTTTAAGCTATTAAAAGACAAAAACTCTTATACTTTTCTATATTCCAATATGCAGCTTTTTTCAATAACTTACAAAGAAACTGTTAACAAAATAAACCATTTTAGCTGCTTCCTACCTCGGCAAACTAGACAGATCAATTCTCCGGAACCGGAACATTTACCGCACCTGAAGTGAAAACAATAATATGAATTATTGAGCAATCGATTCCAAAAAGAAAGAGTTAGTCTTACCGACTTTTACCAGAACCAGAGCAGCCACCGCAAGACGTTTTGTCGTGTCTCTTTTGCTTAGCGTCAAACTTTTTAACCCAACCCGATCCACTACATTTCGAACATCTAACCCTTTTGACACCTTTACATCTTGAACATACTACAAAACCTCGAGCTTTGCAGTTATGACACTGAAAGACCTGTTCTGTATGAGGAACTGGAATTTCCTTTGTCTCATTCATAAATAAAGCGCTCGGTGTGCAAGATATACTCCAGGGTAGAGGCGGCTCCCCATTATTAGGCCCGTCTATATAGCCGCCGATGAATGGTTCAAAAGTCCATTTTACACTTCTCCATTCAGTGCAAGTTTCAAGTATATACTACGAAAGTAAAAAAAGAAAAAAATAACAGATTTAAAGTAATAAAATATGATAAATCTAAGGAGACGATAGGAATTTAAAAACCCTAACAGAATCTACAATTTATGACATTGGGTTATAATAGGGTATATAGTATATAAAAAAAACGTAGGTAGAACCCCCTAGGCGATAACAATAAAGAAAAAAAATACCGCTCTTTTAACGAATTATTGAACTTGCCAATAAATTCTCTCAAATAATAAGAAATATGTATACATCAACTCAATAGTCTATATATCAGCCAGAGTGTAAATAAAAAAAACACAAAGAATTGGAAACAAGTAATAAAATAAACTTACATGATATGCAAATTCATTTGATATGTTGTTAATTATCATATTTGTTGAAACTCCTTTTCCATAACAACAATTACTACTTGCGAATTCGTTTAGAGCATCTTTACATGATTTTGTTGTATTCTTGTTAATTGGTTTATCAAATTTAACCGCAAGCATTTTTTCTCTATCATCTATATTCGGTTCATTAGGTCTTGGTGGAAGTATTTGCTGTTCTTCATCAGTTGCATTTTCATAGCCATTGTAAGTATTTAGGCTTATAAATATATTATTGCATCTTACTCCTCTTCTCCTATCATTATTATCTAAAAAAAAACAAAAAGGAATTTCTATAATGAACTACTTTTTTATCATTAAACTGTATTATCATCAATTTTTTTATTCTTTTTAATAAAAATAATGATATAATTTTGCAGTAATCTGCAAAAAAACAGTTTTTATTATATTCATCAGATTCCATACCCTGCATTTTGTTTTTCTAAACTCTTCCAAATAGTTTTACCAAACTCATAAAAAGCGTTGACCGCTTCTGCAATGAGTTGATAATTACTTGTGACATTGACTTAACATACCGTTCTTCTTATAACATTTTGCAACAGTCGATAAATCTATATGCAAATTTTAACCTTACGCAAAAGTAAATGCATTATGAATGAGATGTAAACATAAAACATTTTATGAAAGGAATCATTATTGAACCTTATTGGTACTCAATAGTTTTAAAGCCTAAGCAAGGTCTTACATAGTTGTCTGAACCGGATATGTTAAGCAAATGAAAATATTATATACCATAATATATAAGCTCTTTGGCACGTACAAATCGAATATAGTATTTTTTTCCTTTTTAGTCTGTTGTTTCAGACAAATTTGCTATGAATATTTTAAAAATAGACAAGAAAATCACAATCTCTTGAATCATACCAATAAAATGTCTGTTATTGTAAATAATTACAAGTATAATTTTTGTATATAAATTATTGATTAATTTGCGTATTCTCTACGAAATAAACAATAAAACAGCTTAGAAAAAACCCTTTATTATACTTTCTGACATAAATGAAAGAATATACTTTCCAAAACAGATAAACCTTATCCAATCAACACTCTTTCATTATAAATATACTAATATTTTATTCATTTGATTCATACATAGCTCTTTCTCGGGATATAAAGAGACAAAAAAAATGAACTAATCCAAAGAATGCACAATTAACCTTGAATTTTTTTTTCTTGAACATTTACCCAAGATATTTCACCGACCATAAACAAAAACATGAGGAAGAGAACATAACTATTAATTTTCTATTGAATATGCTATCATGATTCAGAAAATTGTATATATTTTCTATGAAATGATTGAACAAATCATAGACCTAGTTTTACGCCTATATAATAATAATAATCTATCTACGAACAATACGATAAATAGTTATTATATGAACGATGCAACACGGAAAAGCATGCGAGTTTTGTAATGAAACGAAAGACAATTTAAAGGCTTTAAAATCGAAATTAATATGCACAGATTGTATTAGAGAAATTACTGGAAATTTTAAATCTTCCATTGATAATCCGGAGAAGATTGAAAATAGACGGGAAAATGAACAATCGAAAAGAAACTCTAGCGAAGGGGATGTAAAGTTCAATGAAAACATTTCGAATTTGGCGATAAAGGCGAATAGGGTGTCTGTTGATTTAAATACTTTAGGAGAGTTAAACGTCGATCCAGAAGTTATGGAAGAATTATTGGAGAAGGTAGACGAATCGGTAGGAAAAATGGAAGAATTACAAAAGGCAATTAATAAGTTCAAAGAGAGTGAAAAATAGTTGAATAGATATAGAAAGAGAGAGAGAGAGAGAGAGAGAGAGAGAGAATTATAGCACCTGCATCCTGTCTTTGATTGAAAATTTTCAAACGCTTTCAATACATTGTAACATGCGAAAATTACTGATAAGATTCTTGAACATACCTGCATATAATTTTCTCGTTTTATTAAATAATATACAGTATTATTAAAATTCTTTAGGATCTTATAGTCAATAAATAAGAATAACAATACCTATTCCTTTTTAATGATTAGTTTTAAAATGATAGATAATAGGTAGAAAATAAATATTTTTTAGCTATTTCTCTTTTATAATATGAATATAATAGAGGTTTTGTTTGTTCTAACTAATTAAACCAATTAATTAGTAAAGGAGATAATTGAATAATTTTTGGTATATAAACTGGTAAAAACTTTTAGATTATTCGTTAATAAAAAATTTATATTGTATAAACTGTATTTACAGATTACAGAGTATTTACCTATGAGTTGACGGATCCTTCGACAGAATAGTTTGCATTATATTGTAATTATCAATTTATTGGCTATGTAGGATAATGTGTTGTGAATATAATATTTACTTTCTTCACGGTCTAATCTATAGGTAAAGAAGAAAATATAAGGTACTTTCTCTGAAAAAAGAGATTTTCCCTATTATTTGACAGTCCTATAAGTTTTTAATTAAAAGTTATAGTAACATTCCAAGTGAGAAAAAAACCCCTAATCTTTAAATGTTTTCCTTCCATCTCTCTGATTTCTTTGTTTAATTCTTCTTTTCTTCTTTAAAATATGTGCTCTTTATTCTTTATAATCTCGTACACCTGTTAGCAGGAGGTCCATACTTTAATACCAATAGGTGCCTTTCCAAACAGAGGGGGAAATAAAACACAACTCCTCCCACCTAATTTCAACTCCCCTACAATTAGTGCATCTGGCCGATTCAAAAGTACTACTCTCAAGATTGATTTCTTTTGACATTCTGTGAACCTCTGTAGACTACTTATTCACCATAGTCGGTACAATACCGTTAAAACGTTTCCAAATTATTGTATTATATATTTTATAGAGTAGATAATACTGTTTTTAATATAAAACTATGAAAATTCCACAGTTTGTTACTTGGTATTTTTGTTACATGATGGTTAAATTCTCACTTCCCTAATGGAGGTTCATTTACACTCTCACTTCTTTATTGTTATTTAACAATTGATTACGTAATGGTTTTAATGACGGTCACTACATTCAAATCACTACTCAAATTTAAAATAAATTAGTATTATTCCACAATAAACCAAGAATCCTAGGAATTTCAAAAAAGATTGACAAATGGCGTCAAATATAATTTTATGCGCTTTAAATGGGCGACGATCCCCTGTTGCGAGGTTAGTCGTCACTGATGGCGTGTTCAATTGGAATTTGATCTAGTAATTGACACGATGCGGGGGTTGGCGTCGACTTTGTTGTAGAATAGAAAAGATGGCAAATAGAGAATGCCTGTGTTTATCCTCAAATTATAGACTAGCTAGCCAACTCAATTATTTAGAAACGTCTTCAAATTGAACAGTTTAGTTTCAAGTTTTATATTTAAAAGAAGCTTGTATTGCTTTCACAGACAAAAGACACAAAAACAATTTCTTATTTACTGATTACAAAAAAAAGATGAGAGTTTAATTATTGGTCGAAGGTGACTCTATATTAAACTGATCGTAGCAGTCCATCTTAAGAGGACAAGCTTGCTTTTTAACGTCATTCATTATATGCCTAACCATATTTGAAAAGAAGGCAGCTTCTTCCGGCTTTTCCGAATATCTTTCGTACTGATCAAGACAATCGTGTAACTTTAAAGTTAAAGATTCATAATTGTTTCTAACAACTTCTAAAACTTGTTCTTCAGTTAGAGATGAAATTTTATTTTGATGTTGCCACTTTTCCAGCTAAAAGTTCAATTAATTTATTAATTTAATTTATATTAAAATGAATATAAAGAAAGAGGAATGGGTATAATACTGACTTTTGGCGTAAAATGATTAACAATCGATCTGATATTAACAAGGGAACCATTCATCTTTTTTGCTGCATTCACGAACTCATTATTTGAATTTGAATACCGTAAGCCCATCGTATAAAGGTTGTTAAATACTTGATGAGTTCTAACAATTTCATAATAAAGTTCGTCATAAGTCTGAGTACTTGGTAAGAATGTATCTCCATAGGTGATAAACATGTTAAAAATATTGATAACCTAATGTCAATAAAATGAAATGAATTGAGAAAAGTAAAAAAGTAATTTAAATATATTATGCAAATTAATTCAAGACATCAAACGATTGTGACAAAAAAAAATTTACCCGGTAACAAAGGGAAAAGATATCGTGTTTCTGTTTCATCAAATAATTTTCGTAGGTAACGATGAACTTCAATAGAGCAATCAAGGCGGACCAGAGATCGTTCCAATTGTACTTCAAGCGTTGTCGGCACCGTTTTTGATAACACAGCACCCTTTGAATTACGCCTATACCTCTCCTGAAAATAGAGAAAAGAAATTTCAATTATGACGAATCGGAGCATTATATTTGTATACATAAGAAAAACAACACACACATGCACGGACATGCACTAATTTTCACTCTTATACTATAAAATTGTCATTTTTTGGGATATGTTAGAATTATATCTGTAATCAATCACTCCCTATCCCTTCATACCTTATCTCTTTATCATTGCTGTTTTTTAGTTACTGTTACTATATTCCTTACAAACGTAAGTGGACACTAATAGATTTTAAATAGACTCTGTGATTCTCTCTAGAGAATAGTAACCTGCCAGTTCTTTACTTACATGTATAATTCCATTGGGAAATTTTTCATCATGTGACTGTGTACGAATTCAACTAATAAATCTAAATTACAAGAGGGAAAAGAAGCAAGACTGTCATAAACATTTTTCAGTAATTGGAAATTGGCATTATACCTAAAAGAGCTGATGCAAGCGTTCTCGAAGGAGATGGTCTGTTCAAGAAGACTTTTCTATGTCTCATTGGCTGTTTAATAAGTTTAATTATACTAAATTATTTACAAGGTTTACGAGCTATTCTTACCATTTTATGTAAGGGAACTCGAAAATTTATGTTAACGTCATGCATAAGGGAATTTGCAAATTGATCCTCGGAAATGCAAGTCAATATCAACAAACACAGTTTACAGCTGTGAAAACGACTTTCCTCTGTTTGAAACCAACAAAAAATAATATTAGAATAATTAATCGTTATATACTTTTACCAATTATCCATTTTTTATTATTAACGTTTATAAAATTATACTAGATGGCGTCACTTGACGATATACCTTTTATTCCTTGCATAACTATTGATGAATATTCTAAAAACGTAGCTAGTAGATTTGTTGGTAAAACTTCATTTGAACAATTTATTTTAGAATCCGGCTCTTTCTCATTGACAGGCATCGATTGGCTTCTGGCAATTGTTGTTGCAGGCGATTCCGGAGGAGTTTGTACAGGACTCGTATGACATTGCGTTAAAGTGATGACAAAATTTCGATTCAAGTGTACCGCTTCATATAAAGCAAGAAGCATGGCGTCATTTGTTCTAAATTTAAATATACAGTATATATAATTAACAATAAAATAAGAATATAAAAATGACTACTTACGACCCAATGGAAACTTTTTTCTCATCTCCAACAAACATATTACCGACCTAAATAATAATAAACAGACAAACGAATAGTAAAAAACATGCAATTGATAGATTTGTTATTTTTCTCATCTTACTCTTACCATACTGCTTAATGTAGCAAGAAATCCACTCGATTCATTTTCTAAACATTTTTTCTTGAAAGCCCTATTTATGTAATTTTAAACATTTCGTATTTATCACTAAACAATAATTATGATAACATACTTATTAAATTCTGTCAAAGTCATTGAAATTGTCTGAGCAAATCCATTTAAAGCTAGTTCATTATCAAGTATAGACAATTTAACTACATATGGATTAGCTGATTCGTGTTTTCTGTATTGTACTAATAGAGTAAATAGAAGTAAAGCATCGTGCCCATGAACATTTCTCCATTCTGATCTTCCAAAGAGCTAAAAAAAGAAAAAGAAAACAAGAATATTATCAAATTTAATAAATGGTAAGAATGAAATATGTAAACGTAACTAGAGAATATCTTAGATAATATAATACATAAATAACATATACTTGTATAAATGAGAAAAGGTTACGTTGAAGAATTTGTAACATTTTGACATTTTCAGAATGCTAAAGTTTGCTTTGAGTAGTGTTTGTATTTATATGAAAGAGACTTAAAAAAAAACAAGAAAAAAAGCAACAAAGTTTTTATAAACAAACAATTAACTTACTTGTACGATTGTTTCGAACAGGGAGTTTTTCATTAAGTATTCTAGTAAAATATTCTGACTTAGATGCGATTCAACCACCTGTAAAAAGTGCTCTATTAATAAAAAAAGCAACAATAAAAATATAATACGTTAGTACAAACCGTAACAATAGTTAATAATAACTTTAAAGAAAGAGTATGTAAAATATCTAATTTAGATTCCTCTAATATCTTAATTAATCCAGTAATTAAGTCTTTCATTACATCGTCAGCTTCCTCTTGACCTATCAGCAATTTCAATACATTGGAAGAGTCATCGTTCTTTGATACCACGCCTCTAATAAGACAATTGATTGTCTATAAAATCGAAAGCATATTGAGAAAGACAGCCTTCAGTATACAATATATATATATATATATATATATATATATATATATATGTGTGTGTGTGTATATAATAATTAACCTGTAATGAGTTGGCCAAAGGTATCGGGTTTGTATAGTCCAATCTTTTAATGCATTCATAAAACAGTTTACTAATAATTTCCTGTTAAAAAAATTTAAGAATGGTAAAGAAAAGAAGAAGAAATAAAAGATAATTATTATTGCTGATTCAAGCGTTCTTAATATTGATAATAATGATAAATTTAATAGTTAATTGTGTCTAAAAAACTGCATAAGTATTAAACTTCCAATTTTTTTTTAATATTTTACCAATAAACATGAATGTAATATACTTATATCTTTATATGTGTTTTATACCTTAATCAAACATAATTGATCGATACTTTGTTTTTCGAATTCTGTGGCAAACGTTTGGGGATTAACCTGTAAAATATTTCACAGAGATAACATATATATTTATTTCTTTATTTCTTATCTATAAGGACCTTTAGAAGGAATAATTCGTCCCAAAAATTCTCATTTATCAATGATAAATCTTGTCCCTGTAATGTAGATGTATAGATAACATTCCTATATTTTATACAACAAATTTCTCTCTTTTAAATATATTATTCTACCTTAAAGAGCGATTCATAGATTTGACTGATTTTCTCCTTAAATTGAGCTTTATTCGAAGACTTCTTTAAAATTTGAGAATGACCTTTTACAGACATTATCGGTGTTCAACGACCATAATCTGAAAATTAAAAAATTATTAAAAATGCAAAGTTATGCGGCATTTTTTATGAATATGAATTATTTTGCAATTTTAATAGACAAATTAGGCAAATATGATTTATTAAACCTGCTAAATCTGGGATATATATATGTGAAAATACCGTATTTCTGCTATTACTCATTAACCGGATGTTGTTTGCAATCATATTCCAATAGATGTCACTAATATCAACCTCTTTCCAAACCGCAAAGTCAAGGACATCCCTATAGCGGCAATGTAAACAAAAGTGATGGATTTTGAAAAAAACTGCGAAATTAGCTTATTCGATCATTAGAATTGTTCATCTCTTTGGAATTCTAAAAAGATTCGTGCATCTTGATCATATTCAAAACCGAAAAATAAAGAAAATGGAACTTACAAAAGAACTTACAGTTGAAAGAATACCAACGCAAACTACAATAAGCCTTGCTGAAAAGGAAGGTTTAGATGTATCTGAATATAACGAAGAGGAATTGACTGAAATATTAATCGCAAAATTAAAAGAAAGAATCGATAAGGGCAATAATCAAGCTCGATTTCAACTTGGTCAATTATACTTTGAAAACGTAATAAATTATAAAAGCTTTTTATTATTATTTCAATTAATCAACATAACTAAACGTTTAATATTAATATAGAAAGATTATGTAACTGCAAGGAAATATTTTGAAGACGCTGTCGAGTGCCACAACGATTGGCAGGCGAAATTTCAATTAAGCGTTATCTTGTATGATTGCATGGATAACGATGAAGAGAAAGTAAGTTTATAAAGCTATATATATACTTCAATTGTAAATTTTTAAGAATATAAACAAACTTTAACAAGTAGTAACATATTTATAAAACACTTATGCGGTATTTATAAGAATTCTTTCAGTTTATCTTAGTTTTCTCACATTTCTACTCGGGCCAATTCATTATGAATATTCATTTTTTAAAACTTAAGAAACAATTGTAGATATGTTTGTTTAAACAGGTAACAAAGGAAGAATTGCATGCTTCGATGGTCAGATATTTATTTATTAAGTATATACAAATATACGAGAGTATATATGTGTATAAATCTAAACAAAGGCTTTATATTCTATTATTTTTTGTTTTTTACTACATTTTGTTCTTGTACGCTTTATTAGTTTAATGATTTTTCAGCCATTATTTTATTTTTATTATCATTTGCAGCATTAAATTGTTTTTTTGATTATTTCATTTTTATTAGAGAGATTTTTTATAAAATAATTATTCTATATATTGTGTATACATTGTAGTTTTACACTATGGCTAATATCCTTCATTGGTCTCTTTTCTAGATGGCGAACTTTTCTCTATATACTATATTTTTATTTTTATAGTTTTAAAACGAGAACATACACAGTATTCTTGACTTGTTAGATTATTATAATATTTAAATTTACATGTAGAAGTTAATGAATATTCAACATTATAATTTAAATAATTTACATTTTTTTATCAGTATTTAATATTGATTATTCATTTGAGGAAGATAATGCTTTCTCTCTCTCTCTTTTCCATCATTTATTCACTTTATTTCAATTCGATTTCATTATAAATATGTCTTTTTTTTATTGATATTTATATAATTTGTTAATAATTTTCAAATAAAGTGATTAGTTTTTATATAAAGATAAAAGAGAGGAAGAAAGAGAAAAAGAAAGAGTTTTCAAAAAGTCTAAAAGTCGAGAAAGTGTAAAAAATAGATTGAGTTAAACATCTCAGTTCTTTTTCAACAAATTATTGCTAAAGTTGTTCTCTATTTAATTAAATCGAGTGAAAACTATTTGCTTATACTGTATAGTATCTATGTAATTTTTTATAGTTTCTCTTCGATTACATCTCTTAAAAGATAAATTGGAATATGTTTTAATAATATTTTTTCATACTACAAATATAATAATAATTATTATTAACTATATCGTAATGATACACAGCATAAGGGACTAGAATTGATGAAATCAATTGCTGAATCGACAGCTCCTTCAGCTCAGCATTTAGTAAGGTGTATATCTCTCCAACTTGATTTTTCAGTGCCCTATTTTACTTAGCTAGTTTCCTCTTTTGCTAACTGACAAAAAATTTTCCGCAAAATACTCTCTTTCCTAGCTCTTTCTCTTGGTCTCGAACCTTTCTATTGAAGGAAATAACCCAAGTATTTTATCATTTTACTTGACAGGCTTGCTCAGTATAACCTTGGTAGAGCGTATTATCAGGGATTTGGAACTGATCAATCGGATACTGAAGCAGAGAAATGGTGGCTTTTAGCAGCAGACGATGGTAATCCAGCGGGAAGTGTTAGAGCGCAAAGCACATTGGGTTTATTTTATACAACGCCTGATCGTAGAGATTTAAAAAAATCCTTTTTCTGGCATTCTGAAGCTACCGGAAATGGTAGTTTAGAGTCTCAAGGAGCTTTAGGAATGATGTATCTCTTAGGAATGGGTACAAAATCAAATGCAGAAAGTGCTTTTATTTGTCTACGTGAGGCTGCTGAAAGGGGTAATATTTACGCTCTGGCAAATTTAATTGCTTATTATTATAAGAGAAAGCTATTCTCCAAAGCAGTTGAATTAGCTGCAAGGTAAAGAAATACTCTCTTTGTACAACCAACTCTTAAATACAATATTCATGTTTTTATAGACTAGCCCAGGTTGAAGATCCCGATTCTATAGCTCAAGACACAAATACTCTTCCGAGTTACTGCCGTAAAGGCTTAGCATTAGCTTCATATTACTATGGTCGAATGCTGCAATTAGGTTTAGGGGTAAAGAAAAACGAACAAGAAGCAAAAAACTATTACTCAAGGGTAAGATAATTTGCATCCAAAGAATAAATCAATTAAATAATTATGGCCATAATTTATACATAGAGCTTTCAATTTGATGCGGATGTGTGTGCTAGGATGCACGCGAGTATGGTACATGGCGAAATCTAGATAGTTACAAATGAAGAGAACAATTTCAAATGTTATAAAATCTTGCAGAACTTTTTAAATATAAAATTTATGATTATTAAACTTTATCTAAAAATATATCAACAGTCCATCTTTAATTTATACTCTAAAAGGAACTTTCAATACAAATACAAATAACTAACTGTTCAATTGATAAAAAGAAACAATCATAGCTGTTATCTAAATATATAGAGTTCCTCTAATTTCTTTTACTTTCAATTATCCTTTCTTGATTATTTCACATATTTACGATTGTTTAATAGAGAGAATCCAGTAGTATATTTATTATTTTTCTTTTGATATCGTTCTTTCTTGAATGGAAAAAAAAAGAAAACTATACATTTTTTTCATTCATTCAAATGTTATGCTTTATACATTCACATACAGACACGAATATATATTATTAACATATTATATATTTATGTTTATACACAACAATAAGCTTAACAAACTATAAGATTTTCAAAATTTAGCACCATCTTTAAAGTTTACTTTTTTTCCATAAAATTTCCTTCTCTTTTCTTTTTTTACAACACTGACTAAAAAAATTGTTTAAAAAAAAAAGAAACATTATTAAAAGTGTAAAATATCACCCGTTTTGGAAAAGATAAAGTAGAAATTATTCTATTTGGGTGAATTTATAAGTCATGTAGTAGGATGTTAGTAGTACAGAAAAAAAAGCTATACTGTTTATCAAACAACAGTTTCGTCCTTCTCTTCTTGTCTTAATAGTCGTTTGCTATCTTCATCGCTATTTTCTAATTGTTTTAACTCACTTTCGTCTTCTTCTCTAGTTTCGTATGGAATGTTTCTAATCTGTTCCTTCTTTCGGTCCCAAAATTTTCTGGCAATACCATTTTGTCTGGGGTTGTAAAAGGAACTTTGATGAAAGCCATTCTTTCCCAAATTTACAGGAGGAGGTGGGAGAGCAACTGAAGAAGACGCGTGTGTATTGTCACTTATAACACTCTCCGTTCGATTGTTATGATCTTTACCAATCGGTTCTACACGATTTTCAGATACTTCTTCCACTTCTGGTTCGGGTCTTTGAACAATTCCCAGAGCGAAAATGGAAGATATGCTTAGAAGAACACAAAACTGACAGAAGGCGCATTCGTAGAAAGTTTGGCTCTTCACTGGCAAGAAAGGTATCCTGTAATCCAATATGAGAAAAACCGATGACACAAAACAGAGAAGATACATTATAAAGCACACAAGTACAGCACGGCAATCGCTGATTGTCATGACATTTTCAGAATCCTCGTCTTCCAAATGAAAGCAATGTAGGCATTCGATTCGAAAGCTCATGAAGAAGAATATTACAGCAAAGAAAGCTGATGGAGCGTAAAGACTTATAAAATCTGGTTGTGTGCATTGAAAATCACCAATTTCCTTTGGCCTGAAAACAGTTTACAGAGAGGAAATGATTAAACAAACTAAAGAATGAGAGGCAATGAATTACTGAAATTAATATACCTCAGTGTTATTGCTGCTGTCAAACCAATAACCAGAAGTGGTAAACCGTAGCCAATTAGGTAATACTTAAAACAAGATGATCTGGAATCGACTTCAGCTGTTTCCAATTCGTCGTCTTCAATTGAGAGAACTTTCTTAAATATTGCTTGTTTAGCAACGTAATTTGCCGATATACTCCAACAGAATCCAGAGAATATAAACAGATTTAATAATAACGGTCTGATTGAACAAATAAGTGGTGGTTCAATAAAGTCTACGCAAAATAAAGCAGCGCAAAGGCTAAAGCTAACGCATAAATTTGCTATAGAATGTCTCCACTCCGACGGTGCAGACTTTTGCCATCGACAACATAATATGGCCGATATAATCGATGATAAAAATACAACAGCACAACCAGTAAATGCTATAGATCCCAACAAACGAACTCGAAAATCAAAATGAAAGAAACTTCGTTTACTCTCCTGACTGACTAAGGCATAGGCTGCTTCAAAATTACTTCTACATTTAAAACTAAGTAAAGCACTGTCTTCAATATCGATACAAGTAGCGTTAAACCAAACTCCAACTCCAGGTATGAATCTCTTTAGAGAAACTCCCGTATCGTCTTTTCTAATTGTAAAGTCAACCTCTCCCGTCACCTCGCCGTTAGGAGAGAATGATGAGTAAATAATTGGATAATTTAAATTTTCTCCAAAATCACTGCCAAATACGGCTTCATTGTCAAAAACAACTAGGATAATTCTCGTTGAATCATTTGATGGTGGTAGATGATAACTAGTATATAAATCATAATTATCCCAATTATAATCAGATTCGTTGACATATTTGGTACATTTAAGACTTTTACCAAATGACGCTGAACATGATATTCCACTATGAGTACTAACCATTTTGGAATAAAAGGTTAAACCATTAAACGTTAATTGTACAATATCGTCACTACCCAATTTGATGCCATAAGCCAATTTCTTGATTATTTTAAATATCTTTTCCGTTAGGGAATAATTAATGACACTTTGCTTTAAAACTGTCGGGTTTGAGTAAATAATTTTAGATATAATCGATAAGACCATATGTGTTGTATCCCGATTTACTGATGTTTTATGAATATGACGATCAATTATATTGAGAATAAGTATTAAATTTTTCTTTTCCGACGTGAAAGAAACTGAGTTTTCCATTAAATATTGTCCAAGAATGTTTAAAGAGTTACTTGAATCGTTTTTATATAATTTATCCAATAATCTTGTAGAATTAGCTAGAAATTCACAATTTTCTTCGTTTACGTTTGTCCATTTTCCATTTGTATTACAATATCTTTCGATATTTGCCTTTCTTGGAGATTTACACTTTTGAATTACCGTTGTATTGCTAACAGTCATTTTCCAGGTATAGTTGCCTTTTAATGAAGAACTATGGTCCAAACCGCAAAAGGTATCATTCGAATCATAGACAATTATTTTTATAATATATTTATCAGTGCCATCAGAGCAAGCTAAAATTCCCTGAAGGGAGAGATCAACAACTGGAACTGTTAATTTTATATCATGCTTATTTATATCTATATGAAAAGATTCTGATGAATTTGTCCTATTTTTCAAATCAATACCATTTAGTCTCCATTTTAAATTGCTTGTATCATATTTGGCAGTTGGATCACGCGATTTCATTGTACAATAGGCTTCGAATGAGTCACCTATAAATAATATTTGACTATTTTCAGGTTGCATAAACGGTAGCGGCGGACAAAGGTCTTCAACAGCCAACTCTGATAATTTCTCTCTTTTAAACCTTTTCTTCCCTCTTGTTATCAATTTACAACTACCTTCAACCATTATATTCTTTTCCAAGAGCCATACCGTTTCGCATGTGCATTTCAAACGCTTATTTTTCCGTACGTTACTATAAAAAAAAAGAATATAAAACTAAAGAAACCTATAATAAAATTCAACAAATACGACTGTCTGTCAATAGAATTAAAGATAACAGTACTTACAGTGACTTTAGGGATTTTAAGTAGAAAAAGGTTTTGGAAATATAGCTTAATTGATTCTTTTGTAAATTCAATCTTTCAAGTTTTTGTAAACCGCTGTGTATCTCAAATCTTATTAATCTATTACTTTGCAAATTAATTTCTTCGAGATTCTTCGTTAGTGCGAATGACAGTGGATGAATAAATTTGATTTTATTGTTTTGAAGTGTTCTAAAACAAATATAACGTTTATGTAAACACATTTGGAAACAATTTATATTAACAAACTTACAATACTTTTAATGAGGTAAACTTTGAAAATGTATTTTTATTAATACGATTAATATTTGAATGAGTTATTTTCCTGAAAATATTCAATCGTTAGCAATGAATATATGAAAAATGCGTTTTAATATTCAATTTGATATATTTACGTACAATTCTGTTATAGTTGATGGTAGAAGGGAAATTAGATTATTTATGCTCCCAAGATCTCGGCAAGAAAACTTATCTTCAACCCCATTTTCACATCGGCAATTTCCATATTTTGTACAGTATTCGGGTAAACAATCATGTTCCTTAATACAAAGCAACAAGATAACCAAAAACCAAACACATACCTTCCAATCCATTATAGAAAAATCCAAACGTTTTTATGACTAGATCATAGTTGCGTCAATTCATTTTTTATTTTAAAAACAACTAGAAAGGCTGCTTAGAGATGTTGATTTCACAAAGAGTAGAACGAAATTAAAGATCGCGACTATTTCCATTTTTGGTTATAACGCCATATTGTTTTTCAGCTCCGCACTTTATATATTATTAAAATAAAGCGATAATACAACACATAAATATATATATAAACATATATATTTATATAATGTATATGCTGTTTATATAAAATATTTGAACAATACAAATTATTTTGATAAAATAGTAAGATTAAACAATCACGAGTATTTTCAATAATAGTTTTTCACTGCTGCCATCTATCGCTTTTTCCAAGATAAACTATCATCTTTAAGCTACAAAAAATCTTAAACAATAGGGATTACTTCAAAATAATTACTTCATCCATACTGTGACATTTATGTTTGGAAATCTTATACGAAAATAGAAAAAAAACCAGTACTAACGTAGAATAAATGTTTTGAAACAGAACTGCATTTCGATACTGTTAAGCTTTTTCTTGTTGGTTAGGTGAAGTTGTTGAATTACCAACAAATTCTACACTGGCTTCATGACAATCTTTGAAACTACCAACACTTAATGTGTCGTTCTTTCTCTCATCCTCTGTAATATAACTATCATCAGGTTCAGTCACATCCCAAAATTCAACATTTTCCATTTCCTTTGCTCCCGGCGTTACAGTATGGGTAGTTAATGAATCATAACTTTGATTTGCACTGGCAAACCGTGAAGACGTCGGAGTTTGAAAATTCCCTGAACTTGTATTTAATTGGTCTTCTCTGGCTGACTGATAAAATGATGAGGAATCATTCAAGTCATTTGCGGAATAAAAGGATCCATAATTTATCCTAGCTTCTGATTCCTCAACTGAATTAATAGATGCATAATTTGGTCTACTACCATTTGATGCAGATGCAGTTGTATTTCGAGAATTTTCTAGATCGTCAGATGAATCTGAGCTTCTGTGTCTACGTGAGAATAACGTCCTTATCCGACTACCTAAGCCTATAAGAACACGTAGGATATAATAAGAGTTACATTGTAGCTAGCGGAAATACCTGTAGAGGTTTCTGGTGAAGTTGTCTCCCCTCCTTCCGCGCCCAGAAGTGGAGTTCTTTCGGAATGGGAACTACCAGATGAAGCAATTGGATAATTAGGATCATCCTCTCTCAAAACAGCCTGCTTGCATACTGGACATATTCTCTTATTTTGCGTCAACCAAGGATCAACACATGCTTTATGATAGGCTGTGGAAGTAATAAAGAATAAATTACATAGTTATTGAATTGAATCCACTTAAAAGAAAGAAAAAGTTTAAAGCCTGATATATTGATATAGATATATATATATATACTGTATATATATGTGTTTGTAACATGACCTAAAAAAATTTATTCGTCACACCTTCATATATGTTTTTCTATTTGTGAGAAATTGTTACTACTATTGAAAAGTCTTGTAATTTGAACTCTTAATTTGATATTAATAGTAATATGATATTCTCTAATTATGCACATATTCAGGCTCTTTGCTATGACAATAATAAATACTTTGTTATTGTTAGAAAATATAATCTGTTCAATATTCTATAATTTCTTTCAATTTACCGTGTCGGCATGGTAAAATTCTTAAAACTTCAGTCTCTTCATAGGCCTCCAAACATATGGCACAAACTTCATACGGATCACCTGTTTTTGTTAAAATCATTACTATTTAATAAAGAAGATAACTATTAATTGTTTAATAAACCTTTCACGAAAGACTTTGTTTCAAGCTGTTGCAATCTGCGAATAGGTAGTCTTGCTTTTCTCTTTTTGTAGAAGTTATAACATAAATGAATCGACTATAAAAGAAGGTTAATAAGAAAAGGTTTAAGGATTGATATTTATAATTTTAATTACCCAAGCTGTAATAACCCCAAGTATGGCAAGGCTTCCCAAAGTTCCAGCAGCTATTATGAAGGCTTTAAAGTTAAAATAGTCCCTCGGTTGGGCTAATATTATTGCTTGACACCTATCATTAAAAAGTATCATTAATACATTAAGCTAATAGCAAAATATGAGATGTTACTTTGAGGTATATAAATACTTCTCCAGAAGTTCCTTGGCTGATCTTTGGGGAACGAAAGTTACGTAAATATGAACGTGCCGGTTCTCTATAACGAATTAAATTAATTAGCGAATTTCAAGAATTAAAGGTGAGTCATACTCACTATCTTTGGCTTTTAACCTAACAAATGTATCTTCATCTTTTTCGTCATAGAATATAGCTCCAGCAAAGCTAGCGTTTTGTAAATTCAAAGCCTATAGTGAAAACATAGAGAATAATATATTCTCACTAAAACAAATGTATATAATTCCTCCATTTACCTGAAGATCATCGGGACAACTTCTTCTTTTATAGACTGCGTAAAATGGACCTTCTTCTGGGGGTTTAATATCCAACTTGTCACAAGCATTATATTGGACATTATAGAGAAAACCTTTCTGTTAACAAAATGGTTAAAGTTTAAACTCAAATTGCCAATAGGTGTTGATTACTGTTTTAACCTCAGAAGAAGACATAGGTACTTTTCTTCCAAATAGAGCATTTTCTGACTCGAAAACATCAATCTCTGTGTGATTTGGTGATATCTGTGTACAATGTAACAATTTTAAGTGACTTATAGTTTTTTAAAGACAATAAAAATAGGCGTAGGTTAAAACAATATATACAATAAGTATTTCTCCAGTAGGTTGTAGGTTTAAACAATCAGGTAAAAATAATGTAATCAAGAAGACTATAGACATGAAAATTTTCATTCTTATGAGATTCAACAATACTGCGCCAATAAACTTAGTTTCTTTAATAGCTTCTTATCTGAAAAGAAAAAAAATAGCGATATTATTAAATAAGAATATGAGCGATAATACAATATAATCTACTTATAGGAGAAGAGGTTAAGATTTTGATAATCCAGCAATACTCACATCATATGAAACTTCAAAATAATGAATATTTTATATCTAATATGGCAAATCAAACAGATATTAATATTTATCCTGACTTAAGTGTCATTTACTTGAAATGACGTCATATCAAACGCAGTTCTGAAAACTCGTTAATACAAATGGTGTCCATAGTTTCGGAACCGATATGGATGAGGACGATTTAGAATTATTCGATAATGATGACTTTTATGCCTGGTTGGGCCTGGGGAGAAATGTAAGACGACATATTTTGTGAATTTTCATCAACTTTCAGCATTATGATTTCTTAGATATATCGATTTTCAAATATTTTCTGAACGATAATACAATAAAACGTGCTCTCAATACAGGCTACAGCTGAAGAGATAAACAATGCCTATAGGAGAATGAGTAAAATATATCACCCAGATAAACATGCATTAGATCAATTGAAGAAAGAAAAAGCCGAAAGACTGTTTAATAAAATTAAGAGAGCTCATGAAGTTTTGTCTGATCCTCATAAGAAGGTCATATATGATACAACTGGTGAAAAGGGTTTGCAAGCTGAAGGATGGGAATTATTACCGAAACAAAAAACTCCCCAAGAAATATTACTTGAATATGAGCGATTGAAACAGGAGCGAGAAGAAAGGTTGTTAGAACAAAAAACAAATCCAAAGGGATCTATAGTTGTTGGGATTGATGCTACTGATATATTTGATAGATATGATCAAGAAGATGGAATATCATTTGGGCAAGTTTTAAATATTTTAAAATTACATTCAATTGCTGTTTTCATATTTGATGCAATGGTGATGCAATAATAACTCTAATAGATCCGAATTACCACACCTAGAAGTTAATCAAATGAGTATTGCTCAATCTATTGAATTTCCTTTGACGGTTAAAGACAGAATAGTTCTTCAGGTATATAAATAAAATGATACCTCAGCCACATTTGCTCAAACATGAAACTTCATTTAAGGGTCAGTTGGCAAGTCAAAATGGAAATGGTTCAGGAGCCGTTGCCACATCCTATCGTCGCGTTCTATCAGATAATAGTTGGGTCGAGGTTCGCACTATGATGGATTATTGACAATTTATTAATAATTAAATCAAATTTTATACTTAAACAGACAGAACTTTCTGTGGGAAATGGTTTAGGAGTATCAGTAAGAGGATTTAGACAGCTGTGGGCTAGAAGGTAAAGGCTATTCATAAAAAATATTAACAATTATTTACACTTTTGTTTATTGAAAAGCTATTGTACAATGACGGCATCTCTGCAAGATACTAGGAAAGGTTTAAGACCATCTCTAAATATTCGTATGTGTTACAATAAAAATTTGTCATTTAACTTATTAAATGTAATAAATTGTTTTAAACAGTAACTGCATCCCAAATTGATAAAAATATACAAGGAAGACTATCCTGGAATGCGCTACGACCTAGTAGTATACAGTATTCTCTAGTTTATGATAACGAATGTAATCATGGTTCTGTTACTTTAAACGTTAGTAAAATTTATTTTTAATTTAAGAACTTAAAAAAAACCGAATTAAAACATTTTATAGGTCGGAATTTTAAACTCATACTTATCTGCAACGTATGTTAGGAAGTTTCCCGACTATGAAATGAAACTAAAAGGATCTGTAAAGTATGATTAATTATTTGAAGTTACAATTAAAGAAGCTAAATAATTTTACCTTTTAGATATGGTACTTTTGGGATTTGGTCGGAAGGTTCTTGTGAAAAGAAACTTACTAAGTTTAGTACGGTATCTGGAGCTATATCTGTTGGATCCCATACAGGTGTCTTATTAAAGATAAGGTTAGTTGAAGAAGTAATTAATGTTGTACAATCGTAATTTTCAACTATATTTTGTCTTATCTTAGAGTTTCAAGAGGAAATATGCAATTTTTCTTCCCCATACACTTATCAGACTATGTTGACCCGGCAGCTATATTTTACGGAACATGTATTACCGTTGGCGGCTATTTTGCTCTTAAAAATCTTTTAATTCTTCCGTTTGTTAAATCGAGAGAAAAAGAAAATCTTCAACGAAAAAAAGGAGAATTCGAAGAATGGTCGAAGGAGCAGAAAAAAAATGCATTAGCAGAACTTGATTTGATGAAGGAAACCGTTGAAAGAAGCTATAACAACGAAAAAGCTAAAGGAGGTTTAGTTATCAAAAAAGCTCTTTTCGGAAAATTATCAGGCGAAAATTTACAGTTAGTTGATTTATATATGATTCAATATTTAAGCTTATTTGATAGTATCTATATAATTTGTTTCCTTCAATAGAAAATCTGATTGCATTGACGTAACCCTACCGATGCAGGCTTTGGTTAACGACTCTAAAATAGTTTTACCTGCTAACACCAATATAGTAAGTATTTTTTACTTTTGAATTAATATTTTTTGTATATTGTTAAAATATTTATTTTGAGAAGAGTCTAAGTGTGTTCATTAATAAATCATTAGAATGACATTTCACCTATTTAATTTCATACTAGAGTGAACTACCTGGATTCTACGATCCGTGTTTTGGAGAACCTAAAGAGCTATCTATAAAGTACGATTTTAGAAGACGGCCTCATTCTTGCATACTCAATGAAAAGAAAAAAATTGTCATACCTTGCAAAGGTATTCATCAAAAACTTTGGAATTTTTCGAAAAAATCTAAGAAATTTCCTTTTTTTTTCAGATCATACTTGCGAAGAATCTGGCGAACCTGTGACCTGACAAATTGAAGCTATTTTCAACAGTCTAAAGCTAAATACATAATGTCAAAGTTAAAGAAAAATTTTGGTTTAAAAGAAATATATGCTATATATATATATATATATATATATAAATTTATATATATTTATATATATATATATATATATATATATATATAGTACGTATGTGTACGTAAATACAGATGAGAGTTCCGTATTAGATCCTTAATTGATATCTTGTTAAAATAAAAAAAAAACAACCCGAAAAGAAAAGGAAAGAAGGAAACAATTTTTTATGAAATTAATAGCTGAGAATTTTTAGATTTAGGATAAAGTCTGCTCTTTGCCACCATCGATTAACTCTAACAAGTGCAAAGAGGCTTTAATTGGGAAGTAATACAGATAAGTAATCTAATTATGACTCTTTAAGGCCTTAACAATTTCAAATAAATGTATATAGTGGATATTGGCTTGAAAAAAAAACGACAAAGTTGATGCTAAAGTTTTTACAGTTAACAAAATGTTAAAATAGTTAATTGGATGATCGTTGTAAACATATTGGCCTATTTACCCTAATATAGACTTTCTATTTTTAGAAATTAAGAATACTGTAACACCATCAGAATCCAGGCAATTGGCCACAGTCGCGACATTATCGGTCTTAGTATTTGCTCTCTTACAAATGCGACGTCCTCGTTCTCAGCTACTGACTATTTACGTTCCTAACAAGTGGTTTTTGAAAATAAAAAGTAAGTTATGCACTTACGGCCTTAATTCAAACCAAATAAAGGAAATGAAATCAGATTATACGTGGGTAGTTTTATCGTTTGAATTTTATTTTTTTACTATAGACATCTCAAACCTACCTATACATTTTTCTGTATTATAAAAAAGGACTATCATAGCTTGTAATATGTTATTTTACAGCTTAATTCATAGTTTAACGTATAAAATGTGACTAAAGAATTTTTCATAAAGGAAAAGTTGAAAAGCCTGCACGGTTTGATTAACCTTCATTTATTTTCGTCCAAAGTTCGTTTCGTTTTAGGTCGACGCACCGGCATTTAGAGTTTTATATAGTAAACAAATCTTTGAATCATTTTAACCTTTAACTTTAATTTATATCTATCTCCTTATAATAGTACATACATAAATGTATACGATATAAATTAATATAAATGCTCCTATAGAATTACAATTATAATAGAAAATAAGATAAATTTTTGTGTATAGATTCTTGCGCAATTATAAGATTTTTTCTTATCATGAAAGAAAACAATGGTATTTATAAACGGCAGAAATATATATAGGATATATGTAACTATATGGATCATTAGCTAATACTATTCATACTCTTTCAAGAGTTAAAAGTAGGGTAAATAAAAATAACGTTTTCGTTATAATAACTATTTCATTACATTAAATAAAATTATAGAAATGGTAAATCTTTTTTTTATTTTCTTTTATTGTTAAATGTAAGAAATACCGTCCAATTTTCTCCAACAAAAGAACCAATTTTAGTGAAAGTTTTCGGCCAATAGGACTTTGTAATTTTGTTACGTAATAACAAATCGATTTGTATTGAATACCTAATATATTTAGCGTCTTACCCAACAAATGATCCACCTTGCCCGCGTAATATCGTAAATTTTAGAATAAATTACCCGTCGTAAATATTTGAAGTGGACAAAAGGGAGATGAATTGTGATGTAACTTAAGTAGTAAAACGAAAATTTAACCGAAATGTGGTGAAAGTTCGACTTGTATTCTTATTCAAAAATAATAAATAATCATTATAGAGCATATCGTCTATACGCAGATACAATTTACATGAATATATATATGTATATATATATTATATAAATATACTGTACATACATAAATTTATCTTTTAAGTATACAGAGTATAAAGATATTTATATAATTTTGTGAATATACTCATATATAGTTAAAAAGATAACAACTAATACAATATAAAATAAGCTCACATTTATTAAGCATATGTATTTTATACTGTACGTATTATGTACATAATATAGCACGGCAGGGGAAGAGAAAAATTAAATAAAAACTTAGAAAATCATCTTTTTCCATAAAGAATCGTTTGTAGTATTTACATGTACATATTGTAGAACATATATAACACTATATCTATACATATACCATATATATATATATATATATATATATATATATATATATACACACATGTGAAATATATTTATCAGGACAATATCTCTTTTTCCTATGATGAACTAATTCAGTTCTATCTCTTTCTCTCTCTCACTCACTCTCTTAATCTTATTTCTCTAAGATCTTTCGTTCATCTATATACACAAAATATTCATAAAAGGAAAATTTGTTGCAGTGCAATTCGTTTAATTGGAATTTTGTGTATAAAATTGTTTTTTGATAAGAAATGCTCCATTTAAACCCTTCAGTTATATTTTTATATAAATATATATCAAGTATAATTTGAAAGATTTCTATTTTTCGATTAATTGATTAATTCCACTCAACTTTTATAGATAAGAGTTTTTCAGATTAGTATTACAAGTTCACATATATTTTTATAGATAAGAATTGAATAGAATTGAAATGAAAACGTTCTGAGTGACATTTTAATTGAAGTTTGAAAAAAATAACTGTTCTATAAAAAGCATTGAATAAGATAAGTTATAAAATTGCTTAAAAAAGTCAGAAGGACACATGAATACAACTTAAATAAACTCTTTAAGAAAACCACAAATGACATATTACTATGACCCTTGACTCTTTTAAAAAAATATAGATTAGGAACCTGACAGTAAAAAAAAGAAGACTAGTAGAAAATTGTTTAATTTTCATCAATTGGAGGAATAAAAGGATGGAAAGCACATGTTTTTTTTTTTTATTACTTTTTTGTATCTTTATATAGAAGTAAAATCACAGGATAGCTGTATTCCATAGCTAACAGAATACATAGAATATGAGGTCAATTTGTTCACTTTTTAATAGAATACACTTAAAAAACAAGATTTGTAAACAAAGTAGAAAAAACAAACACTCACTCGAAAGTAAAGGACATAGTGCCACTATTAGAATCAACCTTAAGGTCTTTTACCTTTTTTTAATTGATTAATAGGGCAAAATACCCAAAAATCGGTAACAAACAACTCGATACCTGAATGAAACATATTCTTAATGATTCATAATCTGTAACACAAACAAATCGCTTTTACAATGAATAAATAGTTAAATCTGTTGCTATATATATAACATAACTTGTTAGTTTGTTAATCAATACCTCCTGTATTTTATAAGTATATACGTAATATATTACATAACTAGCCTGAACTACGACTTAATAATTTGTATAAAAACAACAATTATTAAAGTTGTTAGTATTATTAAAGTAGTTATGTTAAGTATAGGAAAGTACTTCAGTGGTAAAGATTATAGGAATCATTCTCTCTCTCTCTTTCACTTTCATTCAATGCCTTTTCTTTAAAGAAAAAAGAAAGTCATCATATAAAAAGTTAAGTTGCAATTGGTTTTCATATTTACCTGTTTCTTTTTCTCTATCTCACTCGCTCTAATTCTTTTTCCATTTTTTTTCTCTTACTTAAGCCTATAATCCCTTTAGATAAGCTAATAAGGAACCATACCTTTTTTTTATTTAATTTTTTTACAACTTTTTTTTTGTCTGAAAATTGTCTTATAATTTAATTCTGTCTTTTACAAAATATCTAGGTAACAAGGATTTTACTCTCAAAATGCCTAGTTGCCTTAAAAAATCACAATAACAGCACCTGTTCTCGAATTAAACACGCAATTTTTGCTCACTCGACAAAATCTAACCTTTTTTCAAAAAGAAAAATACCCCAAGAAAAAAGTTCAAAGGTTCAAAAAAAATTCCTAAGGGTCTAAAAAAATTATAATAGGCAAAAAGCAAATATTTGAGTAGAATCAGTTTTGAGAAATGATTTTTAAATATATGCATATATAACAATAATATACGTATACTCTCTTTACATTAACTTTCTTAAAGAACAATATAGACTTATAAATAAATAAATAAATAATATATAGTGTTTTATCTCTCTAAAATAGATTGCATCCTAAAAACTATACTTTTTCAACTGTTTTATAAATATACTTTCTTATTTTGAACGACTCTTCAACTATTTCTAATTGAATTGTTTGTTATTAAGTATTTTTTTATCCAATTAAACGGAAATGCACTGTCTTTTTTTTTTTTCATTTTCTTTTTACCTCTTATTTAACAAAACAAATAAAAGTAAACAACAAGAACATATTAATATCTAAACGGAGGAGTTTTTGTGCATTTTGTTTTTATGGATTGGTCGGGCTTATTTATTTTTGTTTTTTTGTTGTTTTTTGCAGACTTTGCAGCGTCGTTGAGAGAAAATAGAGGAATTAGTACATAATTCTAAATGATAGAATATAAAAAAAGGCTGCAAGGGGTGTAACCGCATACCAAAAATGCGTTGTGTTTATTCAGCGTAGGAGTTTTTTCAATTCAAACTCCACTCTTCGAACTGTTTATAAGTCTGAATAACTTGCATTCAATTTTTTTTCGCAGGCCAGTTTAGTTGTTCAAGTTTTTGGGCCATTTTGTTGAACTACCTAATTCGTCAATACGCAATAATATTCTATTCGATAGAGCCGATTTTCTTATCCTGGCTCTTCGTTGTTTGCTATCAAACGACAAATATTGCCTCGTTTTCTTCAATTTACACCTCCTTGATGCATGGAAGCGTGCTCTGGCAAAAGCTACATGGTTTTGATAGCCCGATTCTATCTTTTGCCATAGGCAGTACTTATCTAGCGTCCGATAGTTACAGGCCGATTTACGGCAGGCGGATAATGTCCGAATTTGGACGCCTTTCGTCCGGATCCTTTTCGAGCATACGAAATGTTTAGTTTCGGTGTTCTGCAGTAAGTAGGGGTAAAAATTCAATTTGCATGGGGACGGTTCCGAGTAAAATAATTCGTATAGATGAAATTGGGTAAAATTAT